ATGCCTTGTCTAAGCAGGTCTTCCTGCCCAGTGCATGTCATTATACACAATGCACCCCCACTCCACAGATTTTTTTAATGCATCCTGGAACTTAATTACAATGGGTGGTGTTTATGGCATTACTGACCAAGTTAGTTGATTATTCTGAAGACCAACAAACTCGGCCTCTAATGAACCATGAAGGAAAAGGGGAAAGTATCCAGTACTATATATATTTTATAGTGAGTTGCTGGAGAGTCACTATCTGAAAGTCTTTCATTAACTAACCTGAAAAAGGTCTGCCAAGTTCATTTAGCCTAGCTCCTGCCTCAGCCTGCTGCAGACTCTAGGGATCCATTAGCATAATCCAACAGAAAGAAAAAGATATGCACCAAGAAAATATGTGTCTTGCTACACGCTTGACAGCTACATTCTTTTCCTAGGGCTACCCCACTGGAAGTAGAAGAAGATGCCAAGCATAATGTAAGGGAAGTTAGGGGATAAAAACAGCCCTAGGGATATATAATAAAGTTGACTAACACATGAATAAATAAAGCAAGAAAAAAAATAGAAGAATCCCATTCAAAGAGCTTCAGTCATCCCCACCTAGCCAACAAACGTGACTCAGTCAGCTTATCCCAGTCCAGTAGCTGACAGATGAAGGGAAAGATGAAGGACTTAGAGCTACTTTCCCATTTCTAATTGTTCTTAATCCACACTCCCTAGATGGCTTAATCTGTAACAGGCTGAAATGGTGGCCTAGCACAATGCTGAGTTAATTATGCTATTTAAGTTGCCAAGGACAGAAGTAAATTAAGCACCTCAAGTAATAAGGGTTAGGTGTTCAGGTGCCTAGCATCATATTATGGCATCTCTTTCCCCACCCATTCACCTCCACCTTACCCTTCCTTAGCCTTCCATCTAGTTGGCCTAATCTCTCCATATAGCTCAGATCAAATTCCAGGGAAAGTCTGTTTGTCCGTGTGATCACGTGACACTCATTAGCAGAGTCTCTCATGAAAGCTTTTCACTGTCCTACAAACTGGTGTTCCTTAGGTCAGGTGTCAACTACAGTCCAAACAGCAAATGCCCTGTATACAAGCTACAGGTTAGTCCAAGGGGCTGTGGACCCAGGCAGACTTATTATGTATGTCATGATTTATTACAAAGTGTCTCACACACACACACAAAGACTAATCACTGAAAGATAAATGGATTGTGAGAGCTCTCCTATTCAGTGGATAAATCTACTCATAGAGTCATAATTTAATGGCATCCTGGGAGATGGTGGAAATTTCAGCGATGGTACCTAACCGGAAGAAACAGGTCACTGGAAATTTATCTTTGTCAGTTGCATCTTGTCCTGACTTCCTCTCTGGCCCTCTATGTTTCCTGGTGACCATAGGGGAGCGACTTTGATCTGCCACACATTGTTGCCACCACAATGTTCTGCCTCTCGACAGGCCCACGACAATGGAGCAAACAATCATGTACCGAGTCCCCTGAACTGTGAGACGAAAGGAGCCCTTTCCTCCCCTCCATTGTCCTCTGAACATTTGTTACAGCAGGAAGTCATCTAATGCAGGGTCTCAGACACACGTCTGTCAAACCACTGTCAAACACCTAGGAGGAAATAGAAGAATCTCTATGGGAGCAGGGCTCATGAACCTGTCACCAAAGCAGTTACCAGGAGCCACACCGTTTGGAGAACTAATAGTTGACTTACTGCCCTTCTGTGGCCATGTGAAACTCCTAATCGTTTCTCATGGAGAACCCATAATTTTCATTTTCTTCAGGGACTAAAAAATTCTGTAGCTATTCCTATAAAGTTCTTCCTGTTGTATAGTAAAGAGCAAAAGGAGTTTGATAAAGATCAAGTAAATTTAGACCCAAACATTCTTCGGAGATCATCTCTCCTCTCATCTGACAAATAAAAAAAATGGAGGTCAAGGAAAGGATAATGGGCTAAATCAGGATCCCACAGTGAGTCCTGGCAATGTTCGCCTAGAACAGATTCCCTCTATGCCGAGTCCAGACTTCTCATTTCTCCATGTGGCATGCATCCTCTTAGCCAGGAATGTCTGGCAATGGTCTATTTTGCCAGGAGTTTTGGTAAAGTGCTTAGAAATCTCATAAAATGCAAGCTGATATAAAAGGACAAATTCAATCCTTTTCTTCTTCCATCTTTCAATGTTTTTTCCCTTCTGACTTCCTCAAAGTAAATCTCCATTAGTAATCCCAGTATATAGGACAAAGGCTAAGTAGAGGAATGGAAAGCAATGGGATCTCTAAGGAAAATCAATTGGTAATCACTGTAAGAATCACAACACTTTTACTCCCAAGCCCACAATTTCACTTCTATATACAGTTGTATATATGTATACATATGCATGTCTAAGACTATACATTGTGATGTTGCTTATGATAGCAACAGATTGGAACCAATCTAAAACATCCATAACACAAAACTGATTTTTTTAAAAAATAGATTGTATCCTGCTCACGCAACAAAATATAATATAGCTTTGGAAAAAAAACTAAGTTAATCTATGTTCACTGGTCTGAGACAGTTTCTGACAAACTACTTGATGAAAAAGCAGGATGCAGAAGAAAAGACAATATGCATCTATTTGTGTGGAAAATGATATATAATTGTATCCTATAATTATATATGTATATATATATACATACAAAGAGAAAGGGAGTATTTGTATATGTACAGAATTTGCCTAAAAGGAAATACCAAAAAAAAGGCTAGCCTAAGGAATAAGAATATGAGAGATTTTTATTCCATGCCCTATTGTTCTCACAAAGTTTATATTATATGCTATATTCTCTTTTCGAAATTAATTGAGAGATTGGGACAATGGTTCTGTATATAAAGTATATGCTGCTCATGCATGAGGACCTGAGTTTGGATCCCCGGCATAAATGTAAAAGCCCCATTCGATAGCATCCATTTATGTATGTAGGGAGCAGCGCTAGGGGGACAGAGAAGAGTGCATCTCCAGGGCTGCTGGACAGCCAATTCAGTCAAAATAGGAAGCTCCAGGTTCTGTGAGAGATGCTGTCTCAAAACGCAAGGCAGAGAGAGATAGAAGAAAGAAAACTGACGTCAGTATCTGGTGCATGCACTTGTGTGTCCGTGTGTGTGTGTGTGTGTGTGTGTCCGTGTGTGTGTGTGTGTGTGCGCGCGCGCGCATGCTCGCGCGCGCACGCATGCACGTGTGCACATACAGGGAGAGGAGAGGAAGGTTGGCTTATTGAATGGGTAATGAAAAGAGGACCAGTCCAGTGGCTGCCAGTATCATGTCATGGCTATAGTTAGGAAGGAACACTTCTATTCCCAAGTGTTCTGTATATTATATAGAACTTACCAACAAAGTAAATTAAATGTAGTCTGATCAGAATTTTAAAAAAACTAATTCTATCTCTTCCTTGTCCTGCTCTTGTACAAAGAAAAGAATCCGAGAGGCTTTTGAGCCTGTATAATCCATTGCTTGGTTCATCACTGGCACAGCTGTGCAAGACAGTGGAGAAAATGAGAAACATTCCCAAACCTTCCTTCGGAGCACTGTCCTCAGGTGGAGGAGAAGGAAGAGGAGCCCTCCCAATGCCAGCCCCCCATTCCCTTGGGAAGACTGACTCTTCGCTGCCGCACAGACACGGAATAACTCGCCTTCTTGCCCCCTCCTCTTATGTTCTGTGCCTACGCAACCCCCATATAGTAGGGCAAGGGTAGCTACAGATGCTTTGACACTCCTTTCCTTGGGAGACAGCAGTTGTGTGGTTACTTTCTGGGTTGCCATGTGATAGGTTTGGCCACAGAAGTGGGACAGAGTTGGAACAATGCCAACTCTGTGCCTAGTCTTTTCAAAGAACTGGTCAAATTCTGAGTGTGGCACTGTGTATATCCCAATGGTCCTTCTAGAGAGAACCTGTGGAGGGGTCCTACAGAAAGAAGATGGGTCCAAAAATCTATGTCCCGTTATGTAAGATACAATTCACATGAGCGAACCCATCAATGGATCACTCCAGACCACTAAGTCACTCTGGTTAAACTGTGCATCTGAGCACTGGCTCAAAATTCTGACCCACAAACTAATGGCATATAATTAAAAGGTAATTATGCTAACACTGCATTTGACGGTTGTATGCCATGCAACAATTGATAGCCTCCATACCACAGTATCAAATACTAAACACCTTGGCACCTCCAAACTTGACTCAAAATTCAATCTAAATTACCCCAGAGTAACAATAGAGCTATGACGAGTGGCCATGGCTTCTGGGAGGAAGGTAAGGTACAAGTTAGGACAGCAGAATTCCTCCAGCACTGTTTCTCATGCTGCCAGATAGAAAGTCCCCACTGACAAAGCCAAGGTCACCCCTTGCCTGAAAGACTTCAGGGCTCATGGCCAAGGATCCTAGCGTTTGCTAGCCCACATGAGACCACCAATCCTCAAGTATCTTCTGGCTGGCCCCAACACTACTCCAACTCTCTACCCATGTCCACCAAGTACACCATATCCACTGGCACCATGCCAGTCATCTCAAAGGCTCTCACTAGGTTGTCCTAGAAGGAAGGGTGACATCCAGACCCCGTAGCACAACCCTTGCCCTCTGAAGCTGGGCTTACAAGAGCCACGTCTTAGAAAGAGAGATTCCTGGATTAACTTCCTCAGCCCACAACGACTGGCAGTTGCCACCCACTCCAGCCCTTGTGCCTGTTCTCACCCACCCACCGGGTTGCCAAGGCCTGAGGGAGGCGGCAATGGCAGAAATCATAATTAGGGATTTCATTATATACTTCAGCTCCTTGAGAATGCATTCTCCCTTGTAATATGCAAATCTATTGTTTGACTTTGAAACATCCCACTAACTTTCAAGCATGCTGTTGGAAAGCCATCAGCTGCAAAAGGTACAAGAATACCTGGTCTGAATTAAAGGCATGGCCTTGAGATGCACAAAGGGACATTTTGGGGGTGGGGGCTAGTAAGAACAGAAGATTCAAAACTCACCATGAAGGAGGACAGTGAGGTCATCAAACACAGTTCAGTCAGGGCCAGGCTGTGCCAAGACAAGCTGTGCAGAGAAACTTCAAGTGGGGAAAAGGAGAAATGCAAAGAGGCTCCCCAAGCCTCCAGAACCCTCAGTTTCAAGAGAGGGGATTCTATTGCCTAGGCCTTCACCATTGTCAGTATAGATAGAAAAAAAAAAGAGGCAAGCTGACCGCATGAATACAATGACAGATGTGTGCTTCTAGACACCACGGGGAAGGCAGATGTTGTTTGGAGGGGTGGCTTTCTCCTCAAACGATAAAGGAAGAAACTGAAGGACTTTCTGCAATCATCTCAGTCATTTTTATAATCTCTCACTTCGGATCAGATATTTACAGTCAGATTACTGCTGTGGTATTCTTGGTTCGGGCGTGTGCAGCCAGACCAAGCGAGGGCAGAAGAGATAGACAGGAAGGACCCAGCCACCCAGGTCACCTGTGTGGTTGCTCAAATCAGTCCGGTCTCACTAAGAATCCCACAAAGCTCTCCATTCCTTCTGCCTTATTCACCTGACCCTTTTCAGGTCCTTTTTTCCTTTCTTCATTACCCCAAGGGAACAACCTAGCCACACTGGTTTTCTTTGCATGCAAAATGTAACTGTTCCTTTTTCTTCTTTCAGATAAAGGCAGGCTCCGGGAGAGGAAGGGGAAAAAAAAAAAAAAGCTCCTGGCTTCTTCAAATTAGCTCTGAAATAAAAGTCACTGCCAGATGTTATATAAAAGGTGACGTAATCCTAAAGCACTTCATTACATATGCAGCTCGGCTCTTCAGCCCAGGGGGAGTTTATTACATTTTGTCGATTCCATTTTCTATACCCACATCATTTTTACATAATTTTTCCTGCCTGACAGGCAGCTTCACATTTTCACAGCGACCCATCAAGATAGCGTTACAAGAGCGCAGGGAACCAGGTTAGCAGTTTACAAATAACGGTGCTAACGAGTCAGATTCGTCCCAGAGATACAAATCAGGGGTAAATGGTCCATCCATGCGTGAGAGAAGCACATCTATTTTAGAATAATAGAGAAGAAACAGAGCACGTTTCAGCCAGCACTGTGTTCGTTCAGAGCATGTACTAAATCTATTGCGAAAGTGGGGAAATGGAGATGTACCCATCTAAAGTTATTCTTGCCTTTTTCTTCGTTTTCCTAATGAATTCCCGGCTCGAAGCAAAATAAGTCGCCATAGAACATGCATTTAGATCGGAGTTACTGCCTTTTCGAATTCGCACAAAATGTAGAAGAGGACACGCCATTTGTGCCCAGTGAGATATCTAGCTACTGAGATGCTTCAAGTGCAAACACTGAGAGACACTTCCTCCCACACTCCAGGTGCTAAGCATCCTCCTCCCCCTCCTTCCTGGGCACTCGCGGCTGCGCTGCCCTCTAATGGCGACATTTGGCAGTGCAGGCTGGATCCTTGTCCTCGAGAACTAAGAATTGCACTAGGCATCTGCAGGAAGCCAAATATGGTCAGCCCTTAGTTCTGGTGAACTTACTGATTCCTAGATAAGAAGGTTCCTGGAACTCCCACCCCAAGAAGTCATACTTACCTGGAACCAAAGAGATGGCGTTGGGGGTAGAGGCACTCGCCACCAAGGCTGGTGATATGAGTTCCACGCCTTGGACCCACATTGTAGAAGAAGAAAATCAAGTCCCACAAATTGTCCTCTAATCCCTACTTTGGGGCTGAGATGCACACACCTGCAGGCACACAATGAACAAATGTAAAATGTAATAAATTTTTTTAAGATCGAGTTTACCCAAGGTTTCATCTTTGTAAGTTTCAATTATAAAGAAAAACTTGTTCAAATGAACCTTATTGTTTTTCCACAGTTATTACAAGCAGAATAATGGGCACTTTTATTCTTTTATAAGAGTAGGATTCAAATGTGGGACACAGGGAGATGTGAAGACTTTGGGGAGCAATTTCACCCAGCTGTTCCCCCGACTGAGGGAACAGAAAAATTAACAATCACTCCCCAAAAATAAAATCTATCTAAGCTCAGACTCTGTCTCTGATGTCAGCACACTCCTTATTTCTACATTTTATTTCATAAATTTAATAATTCTTCTCTTGGGCCTGAAGAGATGATGGCGCAGAGGTTAAGAGCACTGGCTGCTCTTCCAGAGGACCCAGGTTCAATTCCCAGCACCCATATGGCAGATCACAACTGTCTAAAACTCAGCTCCAGGGGATCTGACATCCTCACACAGACATTCATGTAGACAAAACACCAATGTACATAAGACAAAAAAATTAAAGGATTTTTATTTTAATTTAGGTCTATATGACAAGGTTTCTATTTTTATTTTATGTGCACGGGTAGTTTTTTTTTCCTGTGTATCACTTGTGGGCCTAGAACCAGAACAGACCAGAAAAGGGTGTTGGGTTCCCTGGAAGTGGAGCTGCAGATGGTTGTGGTGCTGGGAATTGAACCTTAGTCTTCCAGAACAGCAAACAATGCTCAAAACTTCTAAGCCATCAATCCAGTCCCTCATTTTGGTTGTTTTATTGTATGTAAAGGGGATGGGTAGTGTATGTAAGCGCAGTTTCCTGGGGAGGCCAGAAAGGCGCATTAAACCCCTGAAGTTGGCATTACATATGGTTAGGATCCATCTCACACAAGTTCTGGGAGCCAAACTCGGGTCCTCTGCAAGAGCAGTGTGCACTCTTAACTGCTGCATCACCTCTTGGGGCTCAAGAATTCTTCTTAAAGCAACTTTACATCATATCAAAGTTACTTGTGCACATAGTATATAAGCCATTCTACAAATCCTATTCCCGCACACACTGTCCAAGCAATCCCATTTCCTCTTTACCCTTGTAACTCTAAGATGCTTGAGTTGCTACTTCCTGACTTCCCAGCTTCAGCATTATATACTTTACACCATGAAAGACAACTTCATATGTGCGTGTTCACATGTGCACACACAGTCCCACCACATAAATTTATGTCCCAATTTTGCTAAGAACAATCATCAATGTGTATGGGATTATGAATACTAAATCCTTCACAACTCCACCTTGTTTTGTGTCATGCTCAACTCCCCTGGTCTAGATAAGCTGTTAGTCTCCATGCAGTTTTAGAAAAGAAGGAAAGAAGGGAGGGAGGGAAGGAAAGAGGGAGAGAGGAAGGAAGGTAAGAAGGAAGGAAGGGAGGGAGGAAGGAAGGGAGGGAGGAAGGGAGGGAGGGAGGGAGGGAGGGAGGGAGGGAGGGAGGGAGGGAGGGAGGGAGGAAGGAAGGAAAAGAAAAACTCATGAGCCCCATAGAGCCCTTTTCGTACTCCTCTCCCCCAAGTCCGGGTCTTCCCAGCTTTCTACACATAACCTAACAACTTCACACCTGTAGGCTCACAGTAATTCCCCTGGATGTCTGAAATTTAAAAAAGAAAATAGTTTCCCACAGCTCTCCACAAACCAAGTGAGTTGACAATAGAACTAGTGTTTGATCAGCTGCATTTACCAAAAGCTGCCTTACCTAAACCTAAAAAAACTAACACCATGACACACAGCCCTTACCTCACCCATCATCATAAAAAAAAAAGTAGAGGAGTGTTAGATCTCAGTGGAGCTAGTGAGAGATCACTGACTCAGGTCTGACAGATGGGGAGCCTGCATAAGACATAACTAGACTCCCCTGATATAGGTGACAGTGGTGTGTCTGGGACAATATATGAGGCCACTGGCAGGGGTCCAACATCTAACACTAATTTACAAACTGACTTAGTGGAGCCCATTTTATATGGAAATACCTTGCTCAGCCTAGACACAGGGGTGTGGAGGGTGAGGTGCTTTGGCCCTGCCTCAACGAGATAATGGGACAGACTTTCTAGGGGAGGCCTTACCCTCTCCAAGGAACAGACAGGTGAGGTGAGAGGAAAGTAGGAGGAGCAGAAAGAGAGGAGGGAGGGGAACTTGGATTGGAACATAAAAAAAAACAAATTAATAAAAATGCAAAGGAAATAAGCCAAGCTAAGGCCAGGCATTCATAAGAATGTCTCCATATGTTTATTTTAGGAACTGAATGGGGAGCCTCCAAAGAGTCAAAAAAGAACCAACTACATGTATTTATTGCACTAATTTTCTAGGGCTGCCATGTCAAGCATATGACATATTTGATGGCTTAAGTCACCCAGGATTTATGGTTCACAGTTGTGGTGATTAAAAATTCTGAGGTTCAGAAACCATCAATCCCCACTATCTCTGAAGGCTACTCCTCATCCATTCCTAGTCTCCCATTTCCCAGCAATCCCTGGAGTTCCTTGGCTTATCAACTGATACATGACTTGTGTGTGTGTGTGTGTGTGTGTGTGTGTGTGTGTGTGTTCACACATCCCTCTTGTCTCTGTGCGAACTCTTGCTATTATGATGCATGCCACCTTGAGATGATGGCTAACTCTCCTTCTATATAACCTCATTTCAATCTGTCTCAAACACATCTGCAAAGCCCTATTTCCAATAAGGCCACATTCCCCCGTTCCTAAGTTGGGACTTGAACACATCTTTGAGGGAGGGAGACATAATTTAGCCCACAGCATTTACTCTCACTTATTCATCCACAGCTCCACCGAGCTGTCTGAGTCCGCTTTGCTATTCAAATGTTTTCTGCTTTCTCTCAGGTTTTGTCTTCTGTGTAAGTTCACTCTTAGTTGACTCTTTGTTTTGTGGACCACAGCCCACATCCTTTCAGGTTTTAATGGAAAAACAAGACTCACTAGTCCCTCTCTAGTCTCATTAGCTGTACAGGACCATGTGTCAGTCCCACGCCAAACATTAGAGGCAGGAACATCCTAAACTACTTAAGGAGTTCAGGTTCAGCCTTGGTTCAAGGGTCCTGCGAGGAGCAGATTTTTGTCTCTACAGAGAAGTACGTGAACTTTTTCTCACTCTGGGATCGATAAGGAAAAGAACACAGAGGAACAGCAGAAATATGTTCCAATATACATTGTGACTTCTGGTGCTTTTATGGGAATTGGTTGGTAATGTCTGAGGGCTAAACACACCACTTTAATAATAGTTTCCTATTCTAAAATATTAGAGGAGAAGACATTATCCCAAATATAATGTGCATATAGGTAGGAGGAAATGGCCTCTTTTTGAAGCCCCATGGTTCCAAACAGTATGATCTTTGGTTTTGGTTTAATCAAACTAGGCAAATAATTGCCACACTGGTGATGAGCAATGCTCTGCTCCTGAGATGCCACAAGAAGCTTCCTTCAAATGGTTTCCACACCACAGCTGGATTGTCCAACATTACCTAATCATACATGGGAGGAGTTTAAGACAAAGGCTTAAAGACATAAGACTCAAGACCACAAAATGGAAAAGAAAAAAACAAGAGTAGATGAGGGAAGGCAGAGTCAAGAGGAGGCTTGAAAGAGAAGAAGAAGGGAAAGAGAATAAAACAGAATGGGAATAAAAGAATGAAGAAAGGAGGGGAAAGTGGAGAATATAGAAATGCACTAAATGGGGCAGGTGAAGCCAGGCGTTGGTGGTGCACGCCTTTAATCCCAGCACTCAGGAGGCAGAGGCAGGCGGATCTCGGATCTCTGTGAGTTCGAGACCAGCCTGGTCTACAAAGTGAGTTCCAGGATAGGCTCCAAGACAATACAGAGAAACCCTGTCTCGAAAAACCAAAAAAAATAAATAAATAAATATAAATAAATAAATAAATAAATAAATGTGGCAGGTGGGCCTGCCTGAGCCTGTGTCCCTCTCTAGAAGGTTCCTCTGGCCTCAACTTCCTCTGACCTAACATGTCTCTT